GGGGTGTTGTTTAATGGGATTTGCGTCACCAACGTCTACATCATGAGGTGGAACCTTCGCTTCTTTGGGGACATCCCCAAAAATAGAGGGAAATGTCTCAAATAACTGAGACAATCTATGGCTTTCCTCTGTGGACAAATGCATAAGGTGGACATTCAAATTATCTAAAAAGGAAGAATTTACCAATTTTGGGGGTTTCAATTTATCATGTATCACATCATCAGAAACATTTGAACATACAGGTAAGGTAATTTTAGCTGTGGATTGAAAATTGTTACAATTATCATAATATTTTTTCAGTGAGTTAACATGATACACTGTCTGTTTCTTTCTTCTGTCGGGCGTATTGACAACATAGTTCAAATCACTTAATTTTGAATGCACAGTAAAGGGTCCACAATATCTCAAGGATAACGCATTGTTCAGATTAGGTACTAGCACAAGAACTTTGTCGCCTGGATTGAATGTTCGTTTACAAGAACTCTTATCATACAGTTCTTTCATTCTAACTTGGGCCTTTCTTAAGTTCTTGTGAGCCATTTCGCACACGGCTTTCAGTCGAACGTGAAAATCGTCGAAGTTTTCCACTGGATGATCACTGGTACCTGTCCAACGTTCGTGAATCAGCTTCAGGGGGCCACGGACAGAATGTCCAAACACAAGTTGAAAAGGCGAGTAGCCTAAAGAGTCCTGGACACAGTCCCTCGCGGCGAAAATAATCCAAGGAACAGACTCATCCCATTGGGTGTTACTGTTAGCGAATGTCCTTAGCATGGTTTTGAGGGTTTGGTGGAACCTCTCAAGTACGCCTTGAGACTGAGGGTGGTAGGCTGAGCTGGTGATGTGGGTAACGCCTAGCTTGGCTAGCGCTTCCTGAAAATGGTGACTGGTGAAGTTGCTGCCTTGATCTGTTTGCACGATTCTAGGTAATCCAAAGGTAGTGAAGAACCGGGTCATGGCTCTGACTACAGTCTTTGCCTTAATGTTCCGTAAGGGAATCGCCTCGGGAAAACGGGTACTTGAACACATAAAGGTAAGTAGGTACTCGTTGCCCGCCTTGGTTTTAGGCAAGGGACCTACACAGTCCATGACGATTTTAGAAAAAGGTTCTTCTAATACAGGAATCGGACTCAAAGGGGCCTTAGGAATTGTCTGGTTTGGCTTTCCGGCCAACTGACAGTTCGTGCAACTTCTACAGTAACGCGACACATCTTTTCTCATTTTGGGCCAAAAGAACAGTTCTTTGATCTTCGCCGTCGTTTTAGTGACACCTGGGTGCGCTGACATTGGATGGTCATGTGCCAGCTTAAGTATTTCATGCCGATAAGGTGGAGGGACCCACAGCTGGTTTTTACCCAACCATGGTTCGGCTGGTGAGGCAATCACTGGTATAGCGCGACGAAAGAAGAGGCCGTTCTCGGAGAAATATTCTCCATCGTCAGATGATAGAGATTTTTCGACCGTTGCTTGGAGTTCCGCGTCGACTTGTTGAGCTTTAATGATGTCTTCCTGAGATATTCTCAGGGGTAAGCCCAGGCTTGTGTTTTCTGGAAGCATAGACTCCAGTTTGGGAGTCGAATTTCTTGACGATGATGGTAGATGTGGTTCAGACGTTGTGTCAGCCAATTGTTTGGTCTGGCTTCTTGTCACCGCACATGCAGGATACAGTTCATTATCATTATCTGGAACTGTTGACAAAGGGTCTGAAACCGTACAGGGGTATACTTTGCTTCCCGCAAGGTCATTCCCTAGAAGTAGGTGTACTCCTGGGACAGGAATACTATCTATCACACCTAAAATGACCTCACCTTCGACGAGATGATGTTTCAGGGCAAACTTGTGTAGAGGGACGACAGTAGATTTTGTCCCCACTCCCTGGATAATGGAAATCTTTCCGGTGTTCGTCTCTGGTGTAATGTCCATTGAACTTTTCAAAAGGAGTGATTGTGACGCTCCTGTGTCTCTTAGGACGGTGATATTCCGCTGAGACAACGGATCACCTGGTTTGCTAATGAGGGCTTCAGCAATAAAAGATGAAAAGTCAACTTTTCTCGATCCCTCGAGATCGGTAGACTCGGAAGAAACTGGATGGTGGCGAGAACAGTCAAAATGTGACTGCACATAATGTGTGGAGACTTGACTACCTTCTTGCGGACACTTAGGGTTAGAGTCCTTTAGAATTCTAGAGTTCATAGTTGAACTGGCTGCTTGAGGGGATAGAGCATAGTGCGCAGAAGTACGCACCACCTCTCTGTTATATTGACGACGTTTGTAACAGTCCTTGACAAGATGACCAGGCCTTTTGCAGAACTGGCATACTGCTCGACGATTGAGAGTTGATCTTGGTTTCTCTCTGGACTGTAATGCCTTCACGTGTTGGCCAACAGGAGGATTGCTGCCAAAAAGGGGAAGCACGGGGTTGAGGCGGTTTCCTGACACTGGTGGTTTCTTATGCACCAACATATATGTGTCAGCCGACTCAGCAGCCTTCTGGATGTCAGTTATCTTGTTATCCAGAATGTGTAGTCGTATCTCTTCAGGCAGGGACGATAGGAATTCTTCCCTTAGGATAAGTGACCTGAGTTTCTCAAACTCAGAAACTTCCTCAGAGTGTAGCCACCTTGAGAATATTTTCTCCTTTTCAAAGAGAAATTCCACATATGATTGTGTGGGTAACTTGCGGAGTGTTCGGAATTTTGTCCGATAGGCCTCGGGCGTCAGTGCGTAGGCCTTTAAAATGGCAGTTTTGACCAAACTATAGTTATTTTGAACGTCGTGAGAGAGTGCCTGGTATGTTTTTGCAGCTTTCCCAGTAAGGACAGAGCTCAATAAAGCAGTAATGGAAGTTTCGGGCCATTCACATGTCTTCGCTAAACTCTCAAACGAGTTAAAGAAAACGACCAAATCTGTTTCATCAAATTTCGGAACTAATTTCCCAAATTTGGCAATCACTTGCCCTACCGACAACTTTTTTGGATCTACCGGAGAAGTGACATCACTAACTTGACCAAACTCTAATTCCAACCTCCTCTTATCTAAAGCAATTTTAGCCTCTAACTCCTGTTTCTCTAGAGCACTTTTAGTTTCAAACTCCTTTTCTTTTAATAGAAGCTCCCTCTCTTCTATAGATTTCTCCTCGCGGAGCAACACACTAGCTAACAAACTTTCGTCAAATACTCCTTCATTAATGAAATGAACAACAATTTTATCTCTCAACACCTCTGACTTCTGCGTAACAGAATAATCCAATTTCAATTCCTTAACAACACTAACCAAAACTTTTCTACTCAACTTTTCTACATCTTCAACAGTAGGATTAGCCAAAAAAGACTCCATAACACTACTTGAAAATCACAACAAGCCTAGATTCTTTAAATTAATACACAGCGTTGGGCCGTGTACTTGACCTCTAAATGTAGGACGTGACACGTCTGCTTATTTGACCTAGATACTCTAGCCTGAGCGCGCGTTGTAAGACCACGGCGCTACACTGGATAAAAAAACAACTAGACCAGACTAAACTTAGTATTCAACTGATATAACCAACAACTGGAACGACAGATTAAATCCCGGACGAGCCCCCACTTTGTAACGTTAACCTATCTATCAGCTAAATAGAAGGAGAACGTCCCCGGATTCTTTTTTCGGGGTCATATGCAAATGCCTTACGGCCTAAGTGGATGAACACTTAACACAACGACCCACTAGGGCTCGAATTTAATGTCTAGGGAAGCTAGTGGTACTATTGTAATTAACACTCATCCAATCTACATACGACCTTTTAATCAGCGAACTCAATTGAGGCAGAAAACAAAGATGAACTAGATAAAATATTTAATGTATAAAATATCAAAAACCCAACTTACACAATGTAGGAAAAAACACTATCACAGATTTCTACACTGTCTAAAGAACAGCTACAGGCCACACAACACTGCTGTAGTTTCTAGACTTACTTAGCGACAAGTAATATTAAACTAGAAGACTAAATCAACTGAAGAAAGCAAGGCACACACAGGTCTTAAGTACTCTCACGTTCAAATGGTCAGAGTCTATAGCCGGACAATATGGACGGCTGCCTGACTAAGGTAAAACTGCCTCGTAGACTGCCAGGTCAAGATAAACTGCCTCGTGTTGCGAGTGTGCGGGGCAATTAAAGACTTCTGTGACAGGGGAGGTTATCCTCAACTCATGTCGCCATTGGTTGGGATAATCATCTGATCAGAATCATTCAATCAGATTTTAATGGAAATTTTCTATGTCTCAAACACCTTAATAAGTCAGTGGAAAAACCCCAGGTGTTACACCATCATTCCATATAAGGAATTATACAATGTCAAAATAAAAATGACTCGACCTAAGTAGGTCACAGCTGTAATTCCCATGAGGCTTGCCTGCCATTTTTTTTTTAACGTAGCCCCTTAATTCCCCTGGCGTCTAATATTCACGTTGGTTTTTTCGGGCTGAGAGAAACTGGATCTTTCATTACTTGGGGTCATGCACTAGAAATTTAATTTAATACGGTTACCTCTTATAATTAATCCCTGGGGGAAAAAATAACAAGTTAACCCCATTTTTCCCTGAAGTATGTACTTAAAACTGGTGGATTAGCTTTATTAGAACAATGAACAGACCTACTATAGTGGAAAACGATGAATATTTAAAACTATCCTGGTAGCCTAGTTGCGTTATTTTGCGTTACGTTAGTTGGTTTCGTGAAAATCAATGAAGGGACTTTGTAAACAAAAAACACGGGCAACTATTGCCTAGTCACACAAACTTGTATTGCTCTCTGCACCGTGTCTTTCTCTCGTGTACACACAATGTTGGATGTATTTAAGTCTACTCTACTTTTATTTTATTTTAATAATGAATGCAAACATTCAAATAGTAAAATGGTTGGATGAGCTGATAATATAAAATAAATGAATGAACACAAAGATAGGGGGGGGGGGGGGGTTACAACCTCATGGTGTGATTTGTGTAACGCTATTTTTCAGATCGGTTATGTTGTGTTTCTCATCATCTACTGCTATGTCATACTTGACCGTCTGAAGCAGATCCCTACTTGGACAGAACTCTACACCATCGCTTTCATCTTCACTATGGCCTTGGAGAAGATTCGCCAGGTGAGTAGTACAAACAGGTCGGGGTGGGGTAGGGGCGCTGGATGTATTATATTCACCTGGTGAGTAGTGCACACGGGTTAGGGGGGCGCTGGATTTATTACATTCACCAGGTGAGTAATACAAACATGTTAGGGCGGGGGCGCTGGATGTATTACATTCACCAGGTGAGTAATACAAACATGTTGGGGGGCGGGGGCGCTGGATGTATTACATGGCCGTCATCTCTTGTTTAACTACTGTCACGTGTATCAGTTCACACCGGAAAAGCTTTTAACTTTCTCCTAATTGTAGAAGCAAAATAAATGAAAGAATCCGTTTTAGGAGGTCGACGTTTTTCCTGTTTTCGGTGTAAAAATGTAGAGCCAAGGTCCGTGCGCTGTGTCTACCCACGGCGGTATGTTTGAAGGCCGTGAGTGGCGCGCTGGCTGGTTGATTAAGATTGAGCTGATAGCCGAGATAACCTTATATAGCTTTCTTCTTCCACTTGACCAGGTAAAATACGGTGCTGACGTTCACCGCTGGAAGATTACTTTTTTTTTTTAATTCAACCAGTACCTTATTTGAAAACGTTGTATAGCTTTTAGATTTTACAAGGTTTAAACAGGTTTATAACGATGAATGAAAACTAGAAGATGGTTTTGTTTTACTTTGACCATTACCGACTTTTGTCTTTGATAACCTTAAAAGCTTTCATGTTGAAAAGTCCAGAGCTAAGATGATATTGTTTTGTTTCTTTTAACCGGTATCACGAAACATTTCAAAGTTCGAGCTTTTAAACCACCGTGATCGGCTTAGCGCCGTGGTCTACCCCGTTGTGCACCACGGTCTGCCTGTACTTGAGCTCGATCTGCTCCAGCAGGGGCATGACGCTATCTGTGTGGCACTGGTGGTTGTCGCTCACACTCCCGTCCAGGTTCCGACCCCGCTGCCGGAAACAGCAGCAGCAGGAGTCTGATAAAGCACACGTGAAGGACTTGACGCTTGACGCCATTTTCGCCACCTCTCGGCGAAAACCTTTCGTTAGCGCGCAGTAGAGGAAGAAATTGATGGAGTGGTTGGTGTAGAGAAGTATAAAAAACACAACCTGAAGAATAAAACCGAAATTTCAGTTTTATTAATGTAATCAACTAAATTTGATTTAAGTTGTGTATAAATATATAAAAATAAAAACTATTTGATTAATTAAACTAAAAAAAAAATTAAAGTATAAATGTAAGCCATGCGCTGAACAATATGAAACAATAGTAAAAACCTGCTACCATTCTGTGTTGTGCGGTTTGTCAATCTACTAAGTGACCTAGTGTTCAAAGTTTTTTTTTTCTTGTCGCCTTTTTTAAATGTCAGTTTAAGACTAAGTCTTATTTAAGCTAACCTCTACTACTATCCTCCCATTGATATTGGTTAGACATACAGGATTATGTAAGAAAAAGAAGATCCAGTTATAAACTAGTACAAACTACAATGTATCGTTTCTTAAAAACTCAATAGCCACGTGGTGTCGTCACTGAAGCAGACATGTTTTACAAGGTGATAAAACCACAGCCGTATTGTCCTGTGGTTAATGCCGCGTTCATTGACTGACTCGGTAGTCAGATAGTGACACGACGTGTTCGGTGTGTTAAAATAGGGATAAGGACAGGGCATTATTGGACTCAGATCATGGTATGTGGACCAGAAATTATTGGACTGAGATCATGGGATGTGGACCAGAAATTATTGGACTGAGAACATGGGATGTGGACCAGACATTATTGGACTGAGATCATGGGATGTGGACCAGAAATTATTGGATTGAGAACATGGGATGTGGACCAGAAATTATTGGACTGAGATCAAGGGATGTGGACCAGAAATTATTGGACTGAGAACAAGGGATGTGGACCAGAAGTTATTGGACTGAGAACAAGGGATGTGGATCAGAAGTTATTGGACTGAGATCATGGTATGTGGACCAGTCATTATTGGACTGAGATCATGGGATGTGGACAAGAAGTTATTGGACTGAGATCATGGGATGTGGACCAGAAATAATTGGACTGAGATCATGGGATGTGGACCAGAAATTATTGGACTGAGAACATGGGATGTGGACCAAAAATTATTGGACTGAGAACATGGGATGTGGACCAGAAATTATTGGACTGAGATCATGGGATGTGGACCAGAAATTATTGGACTGAGATCATGGGATGTGGACCAGAAATTATTTGACTTAGATCATGGGATGTGAACCAGAAATAATTGGACTGAGAACATGGGATGTGGACCAGAAATTATTGGACTGAGATCATGGGATGTGGACCAGAAATTATTGGACTGAGAACATGGGATGTGGACCAGAAATTATTGGACTGAGAACATGGGATGTGGACCAGAAATTATTGGACTGAGAACATGGGATGTGGACCAGAAATTATTGGACTGAGAACATGGGATGTGGACCAGAAATTATTGGACTGAGAACATGGGATGTGGACCAGAAATTATTGGACTGAGATCATGGGATGTGGACCAGAAATTATTGGACTGAGAACATGGGATGTGGACCAGAAATTATTGGACTGAGAACATGGGATGTGGACCAGAAATTATTGGACTGAGATCGTGGGATGTGGACCAGAAATTATTGGACTGAGAACATGGGATGTGGACCAGAAATTATTGGACTGAGAACATGGGATGTGGACCAGAAATTATTGGACTGAGATCATGGGATGTGGACCAGAAATTATTGGACTGAGATCATGGGATGTGGACCAGAAATTATTGGACTGAGATCAAGGGATGTGGACCAGAAATTATTGGACTGAGAACAAGGGATGTGGACCAGAAGTTATTGGACTGAGATCATGGGATGTGGACCAGAATTTATTGGACTGAGATCATGGGATGTGGACCAGAAATTATTGGACTGAGATCATGGGATATGGACCAGAAATTATTGGACTGAGATCATGGGATGTGGACCAGAAATTATTGGACTGAGATCATGGGATGTGGACCAAAAATTATTTGACTGAGAGCTAGGGATGTGGACGACTATATTGGACTGAGATCATGGGATATGGACCAGAAATTATTGGACTGAGATCATGGGATGTGGACCAGAAATTATTGGACTGAGATCATGGTATGTGGATCTGACTATATTGGAATGAGATCATACTTCTGGCTGTAAACCAGACAGTTGGGTTCCGGCGTTTTTTCAGAACAAATTCTAGAGAACCGAAACAGTGGTGAACTGAGCCGTCGGGGACAAGGGGGAGAATCCCAGTGGGCCGCCAGTAGCGGTGCGGTAATTTTAGAAAATTAAAGTCGGAAATGGCTTTTTTTTCTCCGGGCCACTAGAACACTCCAGTCCAGCACTGAACCGAAATAAATCTTGTTACATAGGCATAATAATGTCCACTTTTTCGGGCCAAAATTACATTTTATCGGACCAATGATCACGGTGGCAAATAAGAAAAAAACAGCCTTTAAAAGGATAGTATTCTGAGTGCGTGTATATTACACTAGTCTTTAGACTGTTTTCGATGTTTTTCTTGCCAAAACGCCACGGCGGTGAAAACTTATATAACTTTATTTTCTATCGAATATAAACCGGGAATGATCTCCCCTAAACTTTCTCGAATATTCTTATATAAAAAAACAGGCGATGGGAACTCGGGATATAGACATGATTTTTAATCCATTTTAAATACTTAAACTTCTTTAAAATAGAATAAAATCTCGTAGAAAAAAGAATTGCACACCAGTGAACGCCAAATAAAATGTGCATAATAGTGCGGTATATTATTAGTACTTTATAAATTTTGATTAGTTTTTGAGAAATCGGAAATAGCGTAAATTAGTACTTCCGGTCAACGGAAATTACTCAAAATTTGACAGAAGGTAGAGAATTAGATCTTTTACTTACGTGGGAAATTTCATTTATCTATCTGAAATAGTACTCAAGTTATAGGCTTTTGAAAAATTCAAAGTTTAAAAAATACCACTTCCGGTTATCGGAAATCGCTCAAAAGTTGATACGGATCTACGATTTTGATAAAATACTTATATTATGAAATTTCATCAACCTAGCTGTAACGGCACTCAAGTTATCGTGTTTACAGACACACAGACAGACACACACACATACACACAGACATACGGACAAGATTGCAAAATTATGTTTTTCCGTATCAGTGAGGTGTAAAACGTCGAGATTTGCAAAAATCTCGACGTCGAGATTTGCAAAAATCTCGATTTTTTTTTTTTTTTTTTGCACGATTACAAGACTTTCTCTATACTTTGTATATAGATCTAAGAGAAAGTAAAAAAAAAGTTGCAAGTTGTTGTCAATGCTTGTACGATTTAAAAGAGCGTACTATAAAGATTATAATGAGATTTAAACTTTGTGTGTATACTTGAACACAACCCGTCTTGTTAATAGACCAGGTCCGTGTAATCGCTACTATCGGTTATTAGCACCATACATATGCATTAAGGCAGCAATGCTATCATTACCATTAATCCTTAAATAACCTTTCCTTTTAATTTTCTGATCTTTTAATCTTCTGTCCTTGTAATCTTCAAACCAAGAAGAAAACCAGACAGAAGCCACCTTTCCTCTGTCTTTTGAGACAACAAACTGCAGTGCTGCTATTTTCAGTTTAAGCTGTATGCATCCCCGGACATGAACAATTTTAACTTGTCATTCCTATCGATTCGTGCGTCAAAATACGCCGGTATTTGTCTCGTTACGATCACCCGAGATGATTAAACTAATGTGATATTTTTAACAGCCAGCTCACTATTTTTACATACCACAGATTATTTTCTTTTGTAACAATATCCATGTAAATATTCCTGTGTGTACGTTCAAACAAATTTTAAAGTGTTTTTATTGCAATGGAGTTTAATACTATTCCATAAGTTATTTGTTGGTTTGTAAATTTAAAAATTAGCAGCAACAGAGCGTCAAATGACAATTAATGTGTACATTGTGATGATGCTTATAG